GAAAATAATTTTGTTCACCTGAATTATAAAAAGGACGTATCTCTTTTTTCAAGGGAACTGTCTTCAAGGCATGATATCGCACCTAAAATAGACAAGCAGAGTTTTCAGTGAAATCCGAAGCTAGTAATAATGGCCTCCGCGACTACCATTGTTCTCGATAATGGCGCAGGATTCATCAAAGCTGGATTCGCAGGAGATGATGCACCTCAAGCTGTGTTTCCATCGATCGTTGGACATCCAAAAACTAGGGTACGTTTATGGGATTGATTGATTACGAATATGAGATCGTTTGATGAAGTAGATGGATATGAGTTGATTTGATGCGACTGCATTGTTGCTATTCCGAAGAATGATGGGTGTGAGTGCAAATTCAGGGACAACGTTCATATGTCGGTGATGAGGCTCAGTCGAAGCGACGTATCCTGAATGTGAATCGTCCAATCGAGGACGGTATCGTAACGAATTGGGACGATATGGAGAAAATCTTGCATCATACGTTCAACAACGAGTTACGAGTTGCTCCCGAGGAGCATAGCGTATTGATCGCTGACCCACCTGTCAACATCCGTGAAAACAGAGAGAAGATGTCTGAGATGATGAGCGAGACGTTCCATGTACGCGAATGTAGTTTCGTAACGCAGCAACAGCTTTCACTGCTCGCTACCGGTCGTTCAACTGGAGTGGTGATTGACTTAGGATACGATTCCACTTATGTGGTACCAATCATTAATGAAAAAGTCCAGCATCAAGCTATCATGCGTTCCGATGTGGCTGGTCGTCTCCTCACTGATTATCTCATGAAGATGCTCGCTGAGCGTGGTTTCGCATCTGTGTCGGCGGATGAGCGTGAGGTTGGTCGTGACATCAAGGAGAAGCTCTGCTTCGTGGCTCTTGACTTTGAACAGGAGATGGCCACTGCTGCTTCGTCGTCCTCGCTTGAGAAGGCCTATGAACTTCCCGATGGACAATTGATCACCGTCAGTAACGAGCGATTCCGATGCCCTGAACTTCTCTTCCGGGTAAACACGTATCTCTTTCTCATCCACCCACTCCGTCCATCCAAATGTTCAACTCTCCCTTCAAATTATATCATTTCAGCCGTATTTCGTGGGATCGGAGTCTGATGGTATCCACGAAATCATATACAACAGTATCATGGCTTGTGCTAGTCGTTATCGTGATGAACTTTTTGCCAACATCGTACTCTCTGGTGGTAGCAGTATGTTTCCTGGAATTGCTGATCGTTTGGAGGTATATTTCTAGTCTGCAATAATAAGAACGATTAAACAGTAACACTTTTACCGATAATTATGATAATGTCGCAAATTCCAGAAAGAAATGACTGACCTCACATCAGGCGGTCGCAAGATCGAGATCATCGCAAAACCAGAACGCGAAGACTTACCATGGATCGGTGGCTCGATCACTGCTTCGAAGTCCA